GCCATCGAGCGGTCTAGGCGACGGTGCCCTAGTCCCCCACACGCGTTGCGGTGGGGCTCGCTCGTTCTGCCCGCGCACTGTTGACAGACGGCCGGTGGTGAGAACTCTTCTTCCCACACGACGGTGGTGGCGAAGGAAACCCGGGTAGGTCCGCTCGTACCTCTCCGTCCTTTCTTCTAGGGTTAGGGTTTGAATCAAAATCGCAAATCGAATCATCTCCTTCTACTTTCTACCCCGATCTAGATCTACACACTAGGTAAGGCTCAATTGATACCATTGTTAAATACTTAGGATCAATAGGAGTAGATCTAGCGGGTAATTTAACTTGGCATCTGGGATAAAGTAACCTAGAACATGAACGAGAGAGAGAGAGGATTAAAGTGGCTGACCATAGGTGGGCTTGGCGAAGCTGCTAGCCATGGCGCCGGTGGTGAGGTCAGCGCAGTCCAGTGGTGTCGGTGTCCAGTGATGGAGGCATCCGGCAGGGAAGCACAGTGGCAGTCGGGTGGCAGCACTTCCCGTCGCTTCAGCACTACCCTCATAGATCGGATTAGGGTTGGGATATAGGTGGGGGAGAATGGAGGCTCAGGTCAACCTCGTACCCAGTGCCCCGGCCCTCACATTTCTCTTTATAGCGCTGCGCGATAGGCGCCCACCGACCATGATTGGGTTGGGCGCCCCCGATCAGGGCGTGAATCAAAGGCCCAAATTAACCATTGGGCCAACTTGATGGAGATCAACCTAACAATATATATATATAACTACTACCCTGTTGCTGGCTACAAAATAAGTTATTCTGTAGCCACTTTGAGTTACGATAATTACTATGTTAATTTGAAAGATTATAGTAACTTTATACTAAGTGGTTTACTATAACGTTATGGTAAATATTTCCATGTGTTATAGTAACCCAACTATCGTAAATATGCATTAACATTATCGTAAATTAGTATATAAAATTATCATAAATGAAGGTGGCTACGGAATAACTTAAAATATATATATATATATATATATATATATATATATATATATATATATATATATATATATATATATATATATATATATATATATATATATATCCTCCTCCTTCATGATAAGCCATCACAGCAGTTTGCTGGTTCATGACAAGTCTGTACTTATTCACGGCTCCTTTGCATCCATCAGCCCGTACATGCAAATTAAAGCCGTTCAATACATATTCCCAGCAGCATAGCAGCGGCATAGCACACAGCTGTAAGTGGAGATCTCTCTTTCTACCTATCAAAATAGAACCAAGAAGCATCTGATGACTTAAATCAGTGTTATATTTTCATTTCTAGGTTTTTTTTAAGATTTTACATTGTACATTTCCATTGGAGCATAAAATAAAAGCTAGCGGGGTATACTTATTTCTTTGCCAACTTTGTTCTATTGTTAGGATTGGGCAGTCAGCTAAGCTTATGGCTGGGGTGAATTCCACCACAATTTGTTTCGACGATGTTTCACTGCAGCAATGTTCCTCGAGCATTAGGTGCTCTCATGAATCAGTGTCAGCCTTCCAAAAGACCATGGGACGGACCTTGTTGCAGGTTAACATGCTGGTACTTGCTGATGCTGTTCTAGCTGGAGTAATAGTTGCGATTGGCGCCTTTGCGCAGCGGTACCGCCACCACCCCATCACAAGGTTCATCTTTCTCGAGCCACTACCATGCTATTGCCTATTACGTCGTACGACGTGTCCACAATCACACAATCAGCACCAATGCCAATGATTACGTCAACAACAAAAACCTTGCAACAACAAAAACCTTGCAACTTTGGCAGCATCATGCCGTGGAGGTTTTCATTATTTTACAGCTGTATCATGGGCCCACAGAAGTGGCGAGCTGATAACACTTCTCTGGGCCTTGCTCACACATGCTGGGATCATGAGTTGGCCTGCTGACGCTGGTGACGCTGCTATTGCTTAGACCTGATTTCTTAATATCGATAGGTTGGTTTCCATGTATACATGGTCTGTAGATCAGTATATGGCCTCTCTGTATTGTGTCCTGCACCTTTTGTACTCTTAAATCTTGATCGTGGCGTGTCAATTGTCACTTTTCTTGATTGGTGGCGTGTCAATTCCTATTATTGGGTTGTTCTAACTTGTTTTATATAGTAGTATAAGCACTGAGTCTGAGCATTGAGCAATGTATTGCTTGTTATTACTGGTGACAAACTGACAACCAAGGCTAACTGCAGCTTAACCTTCGATGACTACTACCATACATATGGAGTTCATGGACATTCATCCCAAGCCCGTGTTCATTTTCACCCCAGTCCTCTCATCTCTGACAAATTGAGCGGCCCTACGGAAGGCGACTATGGCCGGTACAGCCCGGCGTGCGGCCGACGGCCAGCAGCCGACGAGGCCGGCCAACGGTGCAACGGCCACGGCCAGGCAGCAGCAGCGTGCGCGGTGACTGTAGACACGGGCCGCGCAACGACGAGCGGTGTCGTGCACGAATTTTGAAGCGTACCAAAAGTTACTAACGATCACAGTTGGGGTTCAACTAACTCCCCTATCGTAATGTCCACATTGCCAACGACCTAGCAACGCCATCGCCATGACCGGAGAGCAACCAGGGAAGGAGATAGATGGATGCCAATATGAGCTCGTCGCGCTGAACGCCAGTTCATGGACAGAGCGCCAACACGTGGTTTACCGCGCGTTCCAACAAAGTTGGGGAATTTTTACGAGAGCAACGTGACATCCAACACAACTTCGACCTACACCATGCTCATGTACTCACTTTGATGCAATCAACAATACCAAAACATGCAGCTAGTGTTTAAACATTTTTGTTAGAAATTAAATATCAAAATAGCATTGACTTACTACTTTTCCATACTTAAGAAAGTTAAGGATTTCATTTGAGGCTAAGTAACCATTAACTCTTTTGTCGCAATTTTTAATAGATCTAAGCCTTGTTAACTTCAACCAACAAATACTTCGTGCAATAGTCCATACCTTATACTAACCCGTAGGAACAAAATATTTAAGCACCATTTAACTATTTTTCTCAATATAATTCGTCAAAAATGGTATTTTAACAATAGTTCAGGTGTTTGCCGACTTAACGAAAAGAGCTCATCTTAACGTCAAATTTGATTTTTGAGCTCCCAAAACACTAGTTATCAACATCTAATTTTCAAAAGTTAAAGTTGCATTTCCATCTACTAAACTTGTACTTCAATTTTTATTTAAGTACTAAATACAAGTTATGTTTGATCCTTGTTCCTAGAAATTGTTTTTCACCTCACGTGCGTTATACATTTTAGAAACCCGAAAACTTGTTAAGTTAATCCTTCTCGGTCCTAAATTTCGGTGCTAAGCAAACTCGTAACACCAGGGGGTGTTACAGTGTGCCTGGATGCACTTGAGTGTTTCACGGTAGTTTCCACAATCCGATATAATACAAATAAATTACAGTGGGTGAAGCGAAGACCCCGTCGCTCGAGTTTGTATATGATTGGTCATAGAAAAAAGAAGTGGTTCCTCGTCGTCCGGAAGTCCACGCCCTCTTTTCTTCGCAAACCGTGCCGGAGCCAGAAATTATACATAGAGAGGGTCGAATGACCAAATATAAATAATATAGTATAATTAATTTTGATATATATAGGGATCAACTATATATTGAATATGGCACATAAATCATCATCATTAATTATAAATACACTGAGTTTGTATGATATTAAAAAAATACTATTTTTTACCCGTCAGGGTCATTTAAATTGTCTTGACCGCTTTCTTCCTTCAAAAATATTGAATTCTCTCTCTTTTAGGTATTATGATTATCTTTCAAAAATAAATTAAAAAAGCTTAAGCTACATCATACTAGCTTACGTGAAATCAGAATTGATGTAACCAGCGTGAAATCAATATGTACTACCAAAATCCAGAATTGATGTAACCAGCGTGAAATCAATATGTACTACCAAAATCTTGCTGCATATTGCTTGCAGCTTGCGTGGATGCGCCTGTGCGGCCTGTTGTGCTGCTACCTACTTCTGGCCATTGGCTTGCCGCCACGGCGTGCAGCCGCCACCTGCCGGACGAGGCAATTATAGTGATGCATCGAACAGCCAGTGTCCTTTGGTGTTTGATCCTCTGTGTGGTGACGATTCAGTTGTCATCTTGCTCTTGCCATGGTCTTGGAAATAGCAAACGGGCAAACAACTCGGTCTGCCATATGTCAGCTAAAGCGTACATCAGCACAAATAACAAACTAAAAAAATCTACTGCTGACATTGGGAGGGCCCCCTGCTGGCCCCCCCTTGCCTCCACCACTGTTCGCGAACATGCACCGGAGCCACAGGTTTTTCATTAACCTGTACCCTGACCTCGTCAACCCCGACCAAGTCACCTCACCTCGCCGCTTCGGCCAGCAAGACGGCCAACGACCTATCCCTGCCTGAATCCAAGTGTTCCCTTCTTCGATGATCTCGTCGACAACCTGCAGAGGCTGTCTTATCTTCAGACACGCGCTTAATTTGTGCGGTGAGATCGATGATGTCTTTAACCCAATGTCTCTTGAACCCTGGCATCTATCAGAGGAAACTATACACAGCACTGGCAGAAGCAGAAGCACGCAATAGATATAACCATCAGCCCATACATGCAAATTAAAGCCGTCCAATACATAACCATTCACATCACGAGATATCAATTCCCAGCAGCAGGATTTATCCAAAAAAAAAAATTCCCAGCAACGGCAGGCAGCGGCATAGCACACCTGTAAGTGGAGATCTCTCTTTCTATCTATCAAAATAGGACCAACTTTAGGCTCCTCCCCTTCAGTTTCATCCGAAACAAAATGGACCAACAAGCATCTGACTTCACTGCTGCAATTTTAAGATACTTTTTAAGATTTTGCATTGTACATTTCCATTGGAGCATAAAAGCTAGCTGGGTATACTTATTTCTATGCTAACGTTGTTCTATTGTTGGTGTTTGGCAGTCAGCTAAGCTTATGGCTGGGGTGAATTCCACCACAATATGCTTCGACGATGCTTCGCTGCAGCAATGTTCCTCGAACATTAGATGCTCTCATGAATCAGTGGAAGCCTTCCATAAGACCATGGGAGCAACTTTGTGGCAGGTTAACATGCTGGTACTCACTGATGCTGTTCTAGCTGTAGTACTAGTTGCAATTGGCGCCTTCGCGCAGCGGTATCGCCACCACCCCTTCACAAGGTTCATCTTTCTCGGAGCCACTACCTTGTTATTGCCTATTACGTCATACGTCGTGTCTACAATCAGCACCGACACCAATTATTACGTCAACAACAAAAACCATGCAACTTTGGCAGCATCATGCCGTGGAGGTTTTCATTATTTTACAGCTGTATCATGGACGTTCCTCATTCAGATCACCATGATCAACACTAGCATAATAGTCGCTGTTGATGATAGGGAAGAAGGTCGCAACAAAGGTCCCCCTATCCAGTTGCTTTTTCAGGGTCTCTGGACCATCTACCTTGGTGTCTATGCCATGGGACCGATTACGACCGATATCTGGCAACTTTACCTTGAATTGATGCTTTTTGCTATCATTTGTGCTAAAATTGTGTTAAAATGTTATGCATTTGTGAAGGCCCGGAAATCCTTTGCATTTGGGCGTAATCCTCGTCTTATTTCTGGGTACATGGAACAACTACAAGAAGCAATTCAACCCAATGGACCATTGGTAGGTGAGGATCATCCTCCTCCACTCTTGGTTATGGGAGAACAAGATAATAATGTGGATATGTGTCCTCATGGGTATTTTGTCAATGCAATTGGCTTAGTGACCATTGACAAGGTTTGGCAGTTGAATGATGAGGTTTTCCGGTCAATGCAACAGTTAAAAGACCTGTGCTTGTCATTTTCATTGTTCAAATTGTTGAGATGTCGATTTGCAAGGTACGAGCACGCCAATGATAGATCTGTGGGGACTCCTAACTTTTTCTGGAACTTCTTGCTGAGAGATGGCAACCATGAAAGGGTCTTCCAGGTGATTGCAGATGAGCTTTCTTTCATTCAAGATTACTACTTCTCATCACTTCCAGTCTCCTACTCGAAGTATTGGTTGCCAATGTTGAGTGTCAGTATCTCACTCTTGAGCATAACTTACTGCATCTTGGCTACAAGATTCATCATGATGGGCCTCCTGTCGAATTGGAACACTAAGTATAGCCATCAGCTGCGTTGTCATTTCTGGTGCAAAGAGAGGCACTTGATAAGCAACAGTCAGGACAAAAATTTTGGATCCTTTTTGTTTGATGACATTTCTTTATTTTTGCTTATCGCACTAGTTGTGATAGCGGAGGTGAGGTACATAGAGTCCTACATTTTCTCCAATTGGACCAAAGTAGCCCTCATCTGCCACTATATAAACCATGCCGCTTTGCAGCATTCTGTTTGCATGAGGAAATGTTTTGGTTTTCTGTTGCAATGCAAGTGGAAGCTCATGAAGCACGGGGATGAAAAAATGGGCCAGAGTTCAGTGTTGGTAGTTCACCCCAGAAGAACCCCACTTGTTCTTCTCAGGCGTCTCCTGCGTCTCCCGGACCTTGATAGAAGTGTGAAGATACCTGACGCGGTGAAGGTCAGCATCTTTGATACTTTGCGGCGCTACAGGCAGCACAATTGGCACCGATTGGGCAAAGGCACAGAATCTCTACGCCGCAGCCCAGAAAGAAACAGATTTCTCTTGTTCTGCAGTAGAAACAGCACATCTGATACTATACTTACATGGCACATCGCCACATGCATCCTTGAGTTATACCAACACGGTCAAGGACAAGGTTTTCAGGCCAATTTCAATCACAAGGTAACTGCTACTCACCTTTCACGGTACTGCACATACCTAATGGCCTGGTCCCCGGATCTGCTTCCAGATGATGATGAATGGAGCAAGAGCCTATATGAGGCAGTCAAGGAGGACGCTAAGCGTGCCCTGGTGGGGTTCAGTGCATTGGCACCGAAGTCTGAATACGAGCAGGTGGTCCGATTGCTAAGTGACAATTCTTTAAAGAATGAAGTTCTCAGGAACGGTGTGAGGCTTGCAGGGCAATTGGTGGAGTTGACAGAAGGAGAGGCATGGATGATGCTGGCTGAATTCTGGTCAGAGATGATCCTGTACATCACTCCCTCAGAAAATGTCAGAGGTCACTTGGGGGCCATCGCGCGGGGCGGCGAGCTGATAACATTTCTCTGGGCCTTGCTTACACATGCTGGGATCAGGAGTTGGCCTGCTGACGTTGCTGGCACTGCTATTGCTTAGAGCTGATTTTTTTTTTTCTGACATCCATAGGTTGGTTTAATTTTGATGTATACATGGTCTGTAGATCAGTATATGGTTTCTCTGTATTGTGTCCGCCACCTTTTGTACTCTTAAATCTTGATAGTGGCGTGTCAATTGCCACTTTTCTTCATTGTTGGGGAAGTTGTGGATTCAGCTAGATTCCTATTACTGGGTTGTTATAACTTGTTATATATAGTAGTATAAGCAGTTAAGCACTGAGTCGTCTGTGATCAATGTATTGCTTGTTATTACTGGTGACAAACTGAAAACCAAGGCTAGGTAACTTTTTAATAAATTTCAGTAGGGGCTCACACCCCTCCTGTTTCATAAAAAAAAAGTTACAACCAAGGCTAGCCTATGGTAGTAGTTATCTAAGAGGTTAAGCTGCATTTACCTAGCCTATGGCGGATCCAGAAATGGGGGGGCGAGGGGGGGTGGCGGGGTGTGCTAAATCATTGAAGGCTAGTAATCGTACTAGCGGCACACCAAAAAAATAAAAGATGTAACAAAAAATAATGATGTAAAACAACAGATTTGAACAGAACAAGTTACCTTCTTCATGAAAATTAACTCACCTTCCAATGCATCAACACGCCGGCTACATTGAGCAATTCTTTTCCCGTTCGATTTCTGCCAAACTTTCATACGGGTTTGTCGTATATAATGAGGCACAAAAAAAAAAGTAGGAAAAAGCGAATGGGTTGTAGACCCACCTGTGACCTGTCAGCCTCCCTGCGAAGCAAACCTCCTCTGCGTCAAAACGTTGAAAAGCCAGCGCGCGCAATGTCCGACACCACTAGCGTTTCCCTCGTCGTCACCGATGCCGTCTGGGCAGAGCCGGAGATCAATTCTACTAGCCAGGCATCCGACGACCTGGCCTGGGCAACTGGCGGCCTGCCCTAGGCCGCTGGGCGCCTGAGCGAGGCCGGCCGCCGACCAGCCGGGGGGCGGGAGCCGGGTGACCGGCGGCCTGGCCCTGGCGGGCAGGGGGCAGAGAGCCAGCGACGGGTAGCCTCGGAGACGGAGTCGGACCTCGGAGGGCCGGCGGCGGGAGCTGGAGGCGGAGGCGAGCGTTCGACGCCGACGCCGACGAGGCGAGCGGGAGGGGCACGGCTGGTGCCTGGCGGCTGACTGATGAGCTGGTGCCTGGTGGTTGCGAGTTGGGCGTGGAGGGGGTTGTTGGGCTGGATCTGAAGATTTGCTCCCTAAATTTTTGGCCCATGACCGGGGCTACCGGGACTGCAGCCCACAGTTACAGGACAGATGCACCTGTCAGCATTAGTCTGTGCCACGAGGATGGAACATAGTCAAATCCTCCAGACGGCATCAGGATTCATTAGGCGAAAATCATAGATCAAAGATTTGAAGCCAACGCTTGGCAATCAGCATATATACTCATTTCCAGCTACCAAACCGCCCCCCCGTTAAACTTGCTGAAACTTAAATTAAACCCATTTGAAAAACACTATTACCTACTGAATTGTTATGAGAGAAAAATATTGTTCCAGCTGAAAAACAAGCCGAACAAATCGGTTTCTGAGTAAGCCGAACGGGGCCAGAAGGAAAATATCTAGAGAGTGAGAGAAGACAGCAAGCACAAGCGCAGAACAGACCTGCAGTGAAATTTGACAATCAGGCAGTCCATGGCAAGAGGGAATTTTCAACGAATGCTGGCACAGACCTGCAGTGAATCAATGCTCCTGTTAGATAAGCTACAGGGTAATGTAGAAGCAACAAAAGCTCTCAGAATTTAGGCGCTTGCATTGTGGACTTGCATATTTTAGCGCCTCTGTTTTTGCCAGACTGTGTTTAGTTGTTTCTCTGTGTTATGGTGGTTTCGGCTCGATGTAATGTAAAAAGGCTGATCATTTGGTGTAGTATCTTTCATTTCTGTTGAACATTTAATCACTGGCGTAAGGACTTGATGATCCATGCCGCGTTCAGTTATTTTGCTAAGGAAATATGGAGTGGAGTGTGTCGTTATTACTGTTATAGTATCTTTATTCTGAGTTGAAGTTGTTTTAGCAGAGCACTTATTGGTTTAATGTGTTTCAGTGCTATATAACCTTATTAAGCTTCAAGACGCTACACTTGGCATCAGGACCAGATCCCCATTTTGTTCCCAGAAGACAGACACTAGCAAGCCACGACACAGCCTGAACCCAAATCTGTGAAACAGTTCGTTTTTTAAGTTTTTTTTGGTCCAAAAGCCCAAGACTCAGTGACCGAAGGAGTGGTTTTGACTTTTATCCAATGAAAAAGAAAACATTCATACTTGATATATGTAATAATGACTGAAAAAGGAATGCCAACGCAAGGATTATTCTGAAGGTCTTGGTGCACCCACAAGTACAAGTACAATAACTAGTAGTACCAATCTACTTGTACCTTACTACCACCGGTTCATCTCCCTCCAGAGAGGTCAGTAAGTGTGCCACAGCTCACCGTTGTTGCTGCTTGTGACATGATGTATGAATCAAACCCTTCACTTTGCATCAAGAATTGCATACCAAGGGTCAAGTTTTCTGGCATTTGCTCTGGCAACTTCGTGTCTCCATCAAGGTATTGCATGACTTGTCTAATGGTAGGCCTAGAATCAGGAATTGGATGGGAGCATAGCAACCCTAACTTTAGCACCAAGATGGTCTGGTTAATGTCAAACTCATCTTGTATCCTTGGGTCTACTACTTTTGTTAGTAGTCCTTTGTGCCATTTCTCGAGTACCCAATCGACCAACATCGATACCAAGGTTTTTAATTTCGGTATCGCCAAAATTTCGGCCACCACCGAAATTACCGAATTTCGCGAAATTCGGCCGAAATTTTGCCGAATTTTTTTTAGAGATTAGCACATAAAGTATGTTTTTTCTAAAAAAATTTGGATCTAAACAAATATTAGTATGATTTATGACTACATATCTATTAAATAGAAGAATATGCAATATAAACAATAGAAAAATATAATATTAGAGTTATATAGCATATGTATTAGTGTATTAAAAAATTTCGGAGTTTTCTTTCGGCCACCACCGAAATTACCGAATTTCGTGAAATTCGGCCGAAATTTCGCCGAAATTTTGAACCCTGATCGATACTCCGTTGTTCTCTCTATTGTGTTCAACAGGTCTTCTCCCACAAGTGACCTCGAGAAGAAACACTCCAAGTGCAAACACGTCGGTGATAGGGGATGCCTTTCTGGTACGCGCCAACTCAGGTGCTATGCAGCCCATGGTGCCAACAACATGCGTGGTTTGCGCATCGATACCATGGTCATACAACTTTGCTAGACCAAAGTCACCAAGTCGTGCATTCATCTCATTATCAAGGAGGACATTGCTTGCTTTAATATCTCGATGGATCACAACTTGGTCCCACTCCTCATGAAGGTAAAGCAATCCTGAAGGGATGCCTTTGATGATATGAAACCTTTGCACCCAATTCAAAGACGGCTTGCCATCTTCAACATGCAAATACTTGTCAAGGCTTCCATTTGGCATAAATTCATAAACCAAAAGAAGTTCACCTCTTCTTCGACAATAGCCAGGTAGTGGCACTAGATTGCGATGCCTCATACGGCCAGTACTAACAACCTCGGCTATAAATTCCTTGATACCTTGTCTTGACTCATGGGACACCTTCACTGCGACCTCCAGTTTGGACATTGGAAGAACCCCTCTATACACACTCCCAAATCCCCCTACACCAAGCAGTTGCTTGGTCTTGAAACCTTGTGTTGCACTGAACAAGTCCTTGTATGAGAAACGATGCGGCCCAAACTCAACTTCCCAGTCCTCTCGAAGCTCAGCATACTTTAATCGTCTCCACACAAATTGGAAGATGGCAACAGCTACCACAAGAATGAATACTGCGGTTGCTATTGGTATGACGATTTCCATGACCTTAGAAGAATTCTTTGAACCTTCATGGGGCAGCTTAGGTAGCTTGTCTACATCAATACCTGGAGCAGATTGATTCATAGTAAAGCTCCATCCGAGAACATAGTGCTGTGAATCAATACTCCTAGTTGTCGACGAGAAGCCAACATATGCTTGGTTTATGAGCACTGTTGATAGGTTGTAGGTTGTTAAGTGGCCTCATGGGTTTGGACATCTTGAGAGGAGCAATGGTCACACTTATCTTAGTAGCCACTTCATCATAGTCTACCCACACTTGCGTTGGCTCATGGCTATTCAGTGTCATGTTTTGAAAATTACCTTGGCTGTCGTAGTACCCGGTGTAGTTGGATCGCACCGAGCGGATGTCATTAACATCGACACCGATGTGATTGTCGCTGATGTCCTGGAACTCAGTATTCTGGATGGTGTTGAGCTCAACGGCAAAGATATGATTGCTTGCATTGCCACTATTCTGTCTATTGAAGAGCCCTAGGAATACCCTTGTACCCGAGGAAGAGAGATTTTTGCTTGGGGAAATGAGGAAGGCCATGCCATGGGAGCTCAAGTTTGGAGCGATGGAGAGAATGGCAAACACAAAGGAGACAGAGAAAGACTGCACATTGCCACCGGGAACACTGTGGAACCTCAGCAGCTGAGGGTGGAACGCATGGCCTTTGCGCTCCCCATTGCCACTACTCAGTTGGAGGAGGCCACTCGACGTGATGGTCGCCATGCCATCAAGGGTGAAGTTGGCATCATTGAACCCACTGTAGATGAATCCGGCATCGTCAATGCTCATAGTGGCCTGATCAATGCTCACAGTGTGTGCTGCATCATTGTATATAGGCTGGAGTGTGCAACGAGCTTAGCTCTGACGAGAAGGATAAGCTCAACTACACATATATGGGAGCCCCACATATATAAAAATATCTTGTTGGTGCACTGGCCGAGAGTGCACTTCAATTATATAAAAATGAAAACTACGAAAATGGAGTCTTGCTGGTGGTTGATCGACCAGTAGCTCTTAGATGTTGCTGTACCTTGTTAGCCAGGCACGGTCGACGTCGACACAGAAAGGACAAGG